TGTTTACTTGGTTGGGTCTGAGCGGCTGTGGGACTGGCGGGTGACAAAGATTTGTCCTGACTGTGGGCAAGGCGGAAAACTCTAGCAACACAAACCACCTTTCCATTTCCCCTTTCCCACTGCCCTTGTTTCCCATATAGCACCGTGCATGTGGTAACTGCTGTTCATCACAGAGGTTACCGTGGAGTACAAGCTTGGACAGAGGCACTCAGGAAATCTGAAACATGTGTTTCCAACCTTCCTTAGTCTTTCTTCTCTGTCTTGCTGCTGTGTAAATAGAAAAGAAGCCATTGTTCAGTGAGGTAACCATCACTGGCAAAGACAGACACAGTGGGAAGAAAGATGTGAGATGAGACATGATTGCGTGGGGGTGAGCCGCTTGAACTGAGCATGGTCGTGGATTCAGGCATTTGAGATGCTATCACGCAGGGAAGGCTTCTGACTCCTTATGGAAGGAATTTATTAGGGAAGGCAGGAGGAAAGTGAGTTCGAAGCCAGCTTGGGATACAAACAGCAAACCTGTTTCATCAGGGGAAAAAAGAGAAAAAGATAATGGACTTGGCTGCTCTATGATATATGCCCGGCCCTAGCGGGCCTGGGACGTCAGCTGGGGATTTTATGCCCAGTTATTCTTATCATTACTCAAGACCTCTCAAAGAGTTATGTAATACTTCAGGGAATTTTCTTATTTAAAATATTTTCAAGTATTTAGCATTTGCCATTGAGAACTTGCTTTATATGGGAAAACATCATGAAAAAACGACATGGACATTGAAGTCTGGTTTGATAATTCCACGTGGCGTCTGTTGCTTGGTGAAAGGTCATGTGTCTGCAGTTTTTAGTTTTTTAGTTGTTGTTTAGCCTACCCACAGTGTGATTTTAGATTATATCAGCTATATTTTTACATGGGTTTTTATTATATTAGAGTCTTATGTTTAACTTAGAGATATCCTTGGTGTATCTTAGATTAACATTAACATATGATGATACTGACTCATCAATTATCTTTTGATATTTTTTGATATTCCAGAGGTTAGATATATCTATAATTTAAGGAGCAAGAAATTTCCTTCCTCGTCTATCTTCATGTTCTCCACAGGACATGACACAGTTTTTAATACTTAGCACACATGTGTGTTGCACACCTGTCTTCTCTCTTCAGCCATGGAGGGTGCCACAGCAAATGTTTCTGTGGCTGGTTCTGTGCTGCGCACACCAGAGACTTAAATCAAGAACAATAGGGAAGTTCTTGCCTTGTATTCAGTAACCTAACTTTGGGCTTAACTTTGATATGGGTAGAATTGCTCTATGATTCCAGAATGCTGTTTTCCCTTTGACGTTTCTCTTTCATTATTTGTCTTCCTTCTTAGGAACCCAAACAGGGTTTTACTGCTCAATACCAAGACTAAGCTTCCACAAACATAACTATATAACTCTTGTATCTTAATAATTCCGTGTTTTCTCCAAGCTGTGCTGGCTTGGCTGATTATCTCATTATTTTCCCCCACGTCTCCTGCCTGTTCTCACTGATGGTTTGTTCTGTTCCCTAGTCAAAGTGAATGTTTTCCCTTGCTTTCTATAACATACGTACCGTATTTTATTATAAAACTCTACATTTTGACCCAAATTAGTCTTTTCATCCTTTAAATTTTGGTGGAATTAGAAAGTACTTAGTACATGGCTTGGCTTATCACTTTGTTTCTTCCTTTATGCCCTGTAATTTTTTCCTGGGCATGGCTGACTTTCTTATTTGATGCATGCTCCTTGCAGTTTCAGTTCTTCACAGATCTTACTACAATAGTCTACTTATGACATGCTTCTATCTGTACCTTCAAGTCCACTTTAAACCTACATGCTTTTCATCTTAAGGAAATTCAGAAGAGCCTGTAGGTCAGGAAGATCCACCCCAATGGCTGTGAATATAGTAGCGCATGCAGACAGAACTGGTCTGTTTGCCCTTAGCAGAATACAATGTGACTCCAGATTCAATCTTGGAAGCATAAGGCTTGAGATCTTCAGAGAAAACTGTTATATGTGGCCTTCTCAGGCCCCATGTGTGGAACAAAGTATAATCCTTTGTGTAGTCAGAGAAGACCCAGTTGTGTTGTGTGGAGGTTCTTGCACAGAATTTTCCATCCCCCGTGAGTCTTCTATTATAGTCATAAAAAACAGAATCTGAAGAAGCCATCCACAATCCCATGTGCCCCTGGTCTGAAGTGTTTGTGAATTAGATTAGGTTAAATGAAATACTCATTTCCTACGTAGGACTAATTCATGGTCTACAGGCCTGAGCATTCAGTCCTTTTGTGCTCTGGACACTGGTCCTCTGTGTCTCTCTGACACTTGCTGGAGCTCATTGACCTTGTAACTTCGTGGTCCTTTCTTTTACCTCCTGTTCACTGATTTCCATTTTCCCCATTGTGTTCTTGCTTCATTTCTCTTTTCTCTATGTCTTCACTCACTCCTGTGTGTATGACACTGGAGTCCACGAACCCTATAGGTATGAAGTGACACACACATAGAGATGCATTTTGCTGACTTTGACCCCCGCCGGAGCACAGATCCTCCATTTGATGTTATCTGCTGATGATGAATGCTGCATGATGTTTGGCCTGATATGTGATTATAAATATGTACTTAATAGCAAGGAAGTGAATGAATAAACAAGTGAACGAATGAATGGATGATGTATCTCACATTTAAATTAAGTATGACCAGAGTGAGTTTTCTTTTTTCCTTCAGTCATGTTTATCTTGAGTTATATATATTTCCCCTTGCTGATAATAATGTGTACCTCAAGATCACAGATGTTAAATCTAAACATATGTATTTACTGGAAATTTAAAATGCCTATTTTATCTGGAGTTGACAAAACACTTTTTACATGGAGTTTGTAACATAGCTAGAACTTTCTTATGTATCCTGAAGTGCCATGCATTCAAAGTGACCAAGGCAGTGAGGAACAGAGCAGTACCAGCCATAGGACTCCGAGGATCTCTGTGCTACAGGCACAGGGCACACATGAGGCAAGGCATGCGTGAGGCAGGGGAGAGAGACCCCTGGATGGACTCACAGGACAATGTGTGTGGGATGGAATCAGGAGAGCGGTAAAGATGGGAAGTTTTCCTCACTTCTTTTCTCTGCTAGCTAGTGGTAGACAATTCGTGTCAGTGGGCTGGAGCTTTCCTCTCCTTCTTCCTTTGTTAAGAATTTGTTGCCGAATCCATGACTGCTACTTAGTCTTGGTGCTTCTCTCCAAGCTCAGGCTCAGCAGGAGAATGAAGAGTCAGCACTTAGTGAAAAGAGGTCCAAGTCCTTGCTAGTAATTGGGGCAGAAATATACCATTTTTTCCTTTTATTATTGGCAGTTTTCATTCAGTGTAGCCTTTAAGTTCTCCCACATTGTATCATGTGTCAGAATTCCTTCCTATCTAAGGTTCCACTGTTTGCTGTATTAGACTGTTTTCTGAAGCTATAGCAAAGTGCCCCAAGAATGATGAATTTATATAGAAAATGGGTATATCTTTCTCACAGTTTGGGAAAGCCCAAGACTATACCACTTGCATTTTCTTGGCTTCTTGTGAGGGCCTCACGCTGCATCTTTTCATGATGGGAAACAAGAAGGAAAGTGGGTATGTGCTGGAGAACATGTGTGAGAGGGCGAGATAAAGAAGAGGCTGGTGTACTTCATGAATGGGCAGCTTTCACAGAAATTTAGTCAGCCCCCAAGTCTCAATTCAACTCAGACAAAATTTTGATGAGGAGAACTAACCTAGACTTATGAGAGACACTGTGATCCATTCCTGGATGTGGTACTTTGGTGTCCTCATCACCTTTCTGTAGATTCTTTCTCTAAAAGGTCTGTTAACTCTCAGTATGTTAGGTTGGTGTGGTACTTTGAATGTAATTGCCCTCCATAAATCCCAAAAGGAGTTGCACTGTTAGGAGGTATGGTCTTGTTGAAGTAGGTGTGGCTTTGTTGGAGGAAGTGTGTCACATTGGGGGTGGGCTTTGAGGTCTCTTTTGCTGAAGCTTTTGCTCAGTGTGATAGACAGTCCACTTCCTGTTGCCTTCTGATCGAGAAGTAGCCAGCACCATATCTGCGGGCCATAACAATAATGGACGGAACCTCTGAACTGTAAGGGAGCCACCCCAATGAAATGTTTTCCTTTATAAGAGTTGCTGTGGTCATGGTGTCTCTTCACAGCAGTAGAAACCCTAACTGACAGTTGGAGATCAAGGTCCCAGCACATGGACCTCTGGGGACAGACACCATACACCATAGCATGTGTGTCAACTTCCTTTGTATCAATTTCTTCTTAAAACCTACCTCAAACCTAACTTTCTTTCTTTTTAGCTTCATCTTCTCTACAACGTTATGTTGGTTTATATGGCATCCTATCTCCATCTTGGCTAGACTCTCAGCTCCAAATGGCAGTGGGCCCTCCATCTGTTTTTGTGTCTCTTGGGGGCATTTCTAGTGAGTAGAGTAATGAATGTAAGTTGAACTGGAAGGCAAGAGTAGAAGAGCCTTTTAGTCTGGAAAACCACTTGTAGGGAACTAAGGAAATGGGAAGGCAGAGTGTGTTCCGACAATTGCCAGAACTAGTGCAGGACCCAGCACATATGAAACAAAGGTTAGATAAAGCCCCTGCGAGACTCCCAAGGCAATGTGTGTGGAAAGGAGTCAAGAACGTGTGAAACAAAATGTCTTAGGTCAATGCACAGGCACAAGTGAAGAAAAAAACTGTTGATTAAAGTGCTAGGTGAAAAGCAGGCTTCTGGCCTGTGGTTAAATTTTATTCTGGTCTGTGAAGTAAATACTAAGGGCCATTAGTGTTATTTTTTTTTTGCTTATATTTATAGAAATGCAAATATGACTTTAATATTGACAATATTTCTAAAAACCAAAAATGTGAAAAGACTATTCTAACTGAAATATCATTATTATCTTAGCCCTGTCCCCAGGGCCATGCACGCAGCCCTGGTGTGATCCAACTTCTGACCCTGTCCCTAGGCCGTGCATGCATAACTAGTGTGATCTGACTTGTGACCCTGTCCCCAGGGCCATGCATGCAGCCCTGGTGTGATCCAACTTGTGACCCTGTCCCCAGGGCCATGCATGCAGAACTGGTGTGATCCGACTTGTGACCCTGTCCCCAGGGTCATGCATGCAGCCCTGGTGTGATCCAACTTGTGACCCTGTCCTCAGGGCCGTGCATGCAGCCCTGGTGTGATCTGACTTGTGACCTAGTGCTGTAGCAGAGTCCAGGGGCTCTTGCTTGCTGGGTGTGCTGATAAATCCTGCACATAAGAGTTAGAAAAAGGAGGTGGATTTGTCTACAGTTCTGGCAGGAGCAGGAGGAGAGAAGTCCCAAGCTTCTTCCAAAGTTGCCTATAACTGTTATTATTTATAAGACGAAACAAAAGCTGGGAGACAACACCTGTGTAGACTTGGCTGAACTGCACAGAGGTCGTTTTCTTGGAGACAGCTCCTCCCCTATCACCCCAGCGTGGCATTTGATAGAGAAATTCTGATGCGTGGGGCTTTTGTCAGTGGCACTCCACTGCTTCGCCCTGTGTTTCTTCCTAATGAAAGGCCACGCCACTAAAGAGAAAAACAAAAAGCCCTTCCTCCTGTGCCACTCCCCACCTTCCTTTACTGTTTGGTCTTTATTATCCTCTCTTGCTTTTTCCTTCCTCTCTGTGCTAAATACAAGTGATCATTCTAGAAAAACAAGAACATTAAATATAATAACAGTAATAATAATAATAATAGTAATAATAGTAATAATAATAGCTATCTCAGACCTGGCATTTCATTTCCACTGAGCACACTCAGCCAGACTTGTAGTCATCATTGTAACGACAGTCTTAGTCACCCAGTCACTGACATCAGAAACCTGTCTTGTCCCTCAGTTGACATCCATTCTTCTTTCAAAATCTTCCTCAGTGTTCCCAGTTTTTCCCATCCCCACCCCAGCTTCCATGATCACACTCTCATACTTCATGTTGGCTAATAAAATAGCATTCGTGTCTTGATTTCTCCCTCTCTCTCTTTCTCCTCTACTTGTAAGCTACTGCGCTCTGTATGCATTGCCAAGGGTATGGCTTTTCACACAGGCAGATATGACCAGGCCCTGCTAGGACTCCTGCCTCCTCCACGGCTTGAAGTTACACATGAAGCGCTCCGAGGAGCACGAAGCCTTTGCCATCAGCGGAGTTTCTTGCATTTACTCAGAGCACCAGCTCTACTGGATGACTTTCAATTTGATCAGTGTGTTTTTTAAAAAATTTTTCTCAAATTATCACTCTTATTTCAACCTTGACCCACTTGAGCCACTGAAGCCCTGATATCCTGAAGGAAAATGAGTGTTTTCTAGTATTTATGTATGTTGTCAGCTGCAAAGGTGGCCTTTATCAAGGGAGTGCTCATTAAAGCCTTGGCCTGACATTTTGAATACAATCTCTAATGAATTCCGTGTGACCTTCTGTAGCTTAGGCGAACCTTTTCCTTCTGACTGGAAACTGAGCAGGTAGCATCTGATCAGCATCCATGTCAGAGTAATGACATCAGATGTGGAGGTGTGTAAGGTTGAGGATGGAGGCTCTGGTTTGTTTTGTTATTTCTGTATGGCTAAGGGCAGTATTTGCTTTGCTTTTCATTCCTCCTGGATTCTACACCGTTGCACCTGTGGTGGCAAAGAGAGACCTCAGAATTAATCCTCCACATGAAAGGGAGGAGAGAGAAAAGGCAGGGTGATGCAGAGGCAGATAATCCCAGAGCAGGACTTCTTGTGTGAAAACTGGAGGGCTGTTGCTAACTGTTCACAGTTAAGCCAAAGAGATGAGAAGGATGGTGAAGTCAGTTTTCAAATGATGACAGTTACTAGGATTTCAGTCATCACTGGAAATGTACTAAAGAGTGGTCAGTAGTTGAGAGCTTAAATAAAGCAAATTGGTAAAAGGAAGAGAGGTACATTTGTTAGTTACCTAGACCGAGTCTTATAATGCATTGAGGAGAAAAAAAAGTCAATGTTGCTTAAGTTTAAAAGATGGGGAGACAGATCCAGCATTTAATTCACCAAAGACTATAGTTGTATTTCTGGGATGGAAATATGAAACCAGGTCCCTGGACTCTTTAAGACGTACAGAATTTCCATATCTTCTGTTATTTTCGGAAGCACTACCTTCCACACAGAGTCCTCTTATTTGACGGATAGATGAATAGAATGTATGTGAAGAGATAAACTTCATAGCTTTGTTCCTGCTTCAGCATATTTTCTCTTCTGCAAGTTCTCTTCAAAGGGACGCCATCAGAAATTTCATGCAGTGAAGGCTATGGTCTTGTTTTCCACATTTTAGGACCAGTGATAAAAGGAAAAATTTGGCCAAACAAAAAGCCGAGGCTCAAAGGAGGCTATATGGTCAAAATCCAATAAAGAAGATTTCACCAGGCTCCTCCGACTGGGAACAGCAGAGGCACCAGCTAGAGAGGCGGAAAGAAGAGTTGGTATGGATGTTGGGCTTGGTGTGGTGTATTGGCTTATTTTTATTCTGACTTGCACTGCGGGGCATAGTGAACCCATGGTAGGCAAGTGCTCTGCCACCCAGCTACACCCCAGCCTAGTGTGAACATTTAACAACATGCCCACTGTTTGAACTGCATGACTCATCACACTGTATTTATAAAATCTGTTCACTTTTAGAAAGAGAGACTCGTTCAAGTAAGAAAGCAGGTTTCGCGAGAAGAACATGAAAACCGACACATGGGGAATTACAGGTAACTCTCGCTGTTCGTTTGTAGTATGGTTTTTCTTTGGGCTGCCAGCTCACAAATAATGACATGGAGACTTCTTAGTAATTGTAAAAGCTTGGCCTATAGCTTAGGCTTGTTCCCAACTAGCTCTTATAACTTAAATTAACCCATTTACATTAATCTCTATCTTATGTAATATTATCTCTTCCATGTTGCACCTCCTGTTTCCTGTCTGTGTGTTCTGGTGTCTCCTGCACACCTAAATTCCTTATCTTCTTCCTTTCTCTCCCTGGAAATCCCACCTACACCTCCTGCCTAGCTATTGGCTGTTCAGCTTTTTAATACACCAATCACAGCAGTATACCTTCACACAGTGTACAAATATTCCACAACATTTGTTTTATTTTTTGTTTGTTTGTTTTAGAGACAGAAGAGGTGTCTGAGCAATGGCTTTTCATTACTAGTGTTTTTTGTTTTTTTTGTTTTTGTTTTTTTTGGTTTTTTTGTGACCTACAGCTTTTCACTCACTGTGTTTCAGGAGAGGAAAGGGGGTTTGTAAGTAGTTTTGTTTGGGGGAGCCATTGCCAGAAAGCTTCTGCTCTGTCTAGGGAGGTTTTTAACCAACTGTAACTGTACTTGGTCATTATGTAATATTTAAAGACAGTCAAAATTCAGGTCTTCTTGTATTCTTTCTGACAGTTTTTGGTCATTACTGTACTTTGTTGTAAGCCTAATCGCTTAACAACCAGGCAAAGTAAGATAGTATTTGAAGGGTCTTGGTAGAGATGGGAGACAAGGGTATGGGGGATCTTCACAGTATTCCCCTGGGAAGCACAAAAAGGGTCCCCTCAATGCTCTTAGAAAGATGGTCCCTCCTCCCAGTCTAACGATCCTCCCTAGAATTTAGCCAAGGGTGGGGGTGTGTGTGGATTTTCTTACCCTTCTGTAAGATATTCTTTCCTGGCATTAACACCTCCACAGTAGCAAGGAGAGGCTAAAGTGTTTTTCCCCACTCTGCTTCTACCCTGTTTTCATTTCCCACCTGAAGAGATCATTCAGATGAGTATCTATAATCTCACATAGTCAACACACACAAAGACCTTCTGCAGTATCCCAGGTCCTCGGGACACTCCTCTCCAAGTTCATTATTTCACAAGCTCTCCAAATACAATTCTTCAAGCACTCTTCAGCCAAACCCTCTGCTATACTTTTTAGTGCTGTGTTGTTCAATGAAATGTCTCTACATAAATGTTAACTGGTATACCAGATGGATATTTGTGACTCCTCCTTAATCATTCTTGTTTGTTTCTAGCACCTGCTTGGCTCAGAGCAGGAAGGGCAACGCTTTTCTAAACAGCTGATCTTAACTATTGAATTGTGTTAGATTCTTTTAAGGAAATAGGCTTCTCCGATTTTCTTTTTGTAGGAGAATTTATCCTCCTGAAGATAAAACACTGCTCGAAAAGTATGAAAGTTTGCTGGCTGTTGCATTCCAGACATTCCTTTCAGGAAGAGCAGCTTCGTTCCAGCGAGAACTGAACAATCCTCTGAAAAAGATGAAGGTAAGAGGAGGAGTTTGCAGAGAGAGAAGAGGAGCAAGCCCAAGGAGACTCTTTAGTAAAGAGCGTGGGCTGAGGAAATGGCTTCGTGGGTGGGAGTGCTGCTGTCTAAGCGTGAAGACCTCACTCCAAATGCTCTCTGCTGCGTACAAAGTCAGTTGTAACCACGTATGTTTCTGTAACCCCAGAGCTTTAGGGGGAAGAGATAAGAAGGTCCCTGGGCATTGCTGTCCGGCAACCTGGCTGAGGTTCAGGGAGAGACCTTGTCTCAAGGAAATGAGGCAGAGTGATAGAGCAGAACTTCCACTGACTTCTACACACACACACACACACACACACACACACACACACACACACA